GAAAGGAGCGAAGTTCGGGGTCCTTCTCAGGGCGAGGTGGGAGGACGTCGTCCTGGTCCCCGGGCAGGCCGAGGCGCTCCGCCGATCCCGCACGCTGGGCAGTGGGCGCCGCGTCCCGGGAGCCGCGGTCCCGGCAGGTCAGCCTCTCCTGGGCAGCGCTCACTTCCAGTCCTCCGCCCCTCCGGTTCCACGGCGAAACGCCTGCCACAGATGATCACAGAGAAACACGTCAGTCTCCCTTCTCTCCGAGCCCTGGGACGCGCCCGCGCCCGCCGCCGGCCAGCTCGCCCGCGCCCGCAGCCCAGCCATGTGCCCGCGCCCGGTGATTGACAGGCCGGCGCAGTCGCGTGTCAGCAGCGAGCCTGGGTAACATGCAGCCGTGCACGTTTTGCTGAAGTGCTTTTGCCCCTGGGAATGCCCAGGAGTTCAACCAACGTCAAGCAGCGCCTGTGCGCGCAGGGACTCGGCACGCAGAAAGGAACGCAGGTTTGAACCCGGCTTCGCTCGGACTCGGTCGCCAACAATGCCTAAACAGACCCTCGTTGGGTCCAGCCCCTCTTCGGCACAAACGGCCTGTTTCACACAGCGACAGTCCCAGAGGTTAAACTTGCTGTTCGATTAAGGGGGAAGTGAAAGGGACCCTGCTTTTTCTTTTAGCGGTAGACTTTTAAGAGCGTTCAGTAGTGGGAACGCTGCCGGTGTTTTGAAATGCAGCCAGTAATCTCAGCTCTAGAGCAAGTTCAAAGAAATGTTCACTTCCTTGCAAAAACCGACATTTCTCACCTTATCTTTCCTAAAATGTCTACGAAGGAAAGGAAGGAAACAGTTCTTACCTAATGCAAAGATTGGAAATTGCTTTTCACGCACATGTACGGCGACTGCAGCTGTTCCTTATCCGGGGCAGGGAGCTGGGTCCGCTGCTATCGCTCTGCAAACCACTGTGTGCCTTACAGAGCGATCCCACTCCTGCTCCGCAGAATTTCAGCTCCTCGCGGCCACCTCCACCTCCACTCCAAGACACGCCCCCAGTGATATCATGTGTCAATCACACCAGCTGCCCGAAAACCTGGAACAGGATTTCCTCCCGTTTCCGTTGGCGCTTGGTTTGTGTTTACCAACTTGGAAACGTGAACTTATAGACTCGTGTAATAAACATCCTCTAAAAATTGGGGATTGCCTCTAAAAAATGTGCAAATAAATTTGTCGTGAAGGAACACATTCAAATTTAGCTATCAATCTCTATTTACCCATCGCTAATTTAAAAGGATTGAAGTTGAATTAGTAAATAATTGTAAAATAAGAATTTTTTTAAATGAAAAACGCTGTATATCAAGCCATCCCTTTGGAACAACTAGAGGGAAAATGTGTATTGATATTTCAAAAATAATAATTTAACATCACAATTCCTGTCTAAATCAAAGTAAGTGAAATCTGAAGTTTCAGAAAGAAGTGCTCCTTTTGGCAAACATACCATATGTTCACCAGGGGGGGAATCTGTTGTGAGTTTTAAAATAACTGCTCTATCTTGGATTGTGATACAATATTTCCCAAAAGTCAATCACAAGAAAACAAAAATCCCAAATTCTTTCTGTTTTGTAATATATTTGTATAATTTTGAGAAAAAAAAACTATTTTTAACTGATTTTAAAAATCAGTTAAAAGGCAATTAATTAAAATAGAAACATTTCACAGATTTAATAATTCTTAACATATCGATATGTCACTGAAAAAAAATATGTATGTAGGAAACTTGCTTTTTGCTTTTTTACAAACTGGGATTTTGGATATTATCAAAACCATGAAGTTCATGCTGCAGTAAAGATAACTGTAGATGAAATTTAAAGATTTTAAATTTGAGGTTTTAAAAACTTTTAAAGATAAAAGCTTTTAAAACCCTAAAGCAAAGTAAAAAAGAAATATTTTCCCAAGTAGCATGTATCAGGAATAACAAAGTCCATTTGGAAAGCAAACAAAAACAAAATTCAAGAATCTAAATCATATGTAGATTTCAGTATGGATATTTCCAGTTCAAAGTAATTTTAAAAAATATCCTTTTAAGTAATTTTTAAAAAATCACTAGAAAATAATAGAACAAGAATGAGCCCATGAGCTACATAGGCACCCTTAATGCTCTGAATGGTACTAAAATAGTCTAAAAGATAAAACTGATTTTATTGTATATATTTTGCCTTTCTCATAGATTTCATCTGATTTGGGGAATTCTTGTGAATGGATTTGAAGAGTCAAATCAGAAATAAAACATCACATGAGTATCTTATTTGGTTCTTTGAAATTGTCTTCTCACCTCTCACCATAGTGAGCAACAAGTTTAAACTCTGGGACTGTCGGATGTGTGAACAGGAGGAGAGGGTGAGTTCACCAATATGATAAAATCAGCAGAGGGAGCACCAAACATTCTAATTCCATCAATCCTTCAAAAATATATTTGAAAGATTTCTATTACAGTACACTTCAAACTATATCAACCAGAGATGCATTAAAACAATTTTTGGAAAACATTTTTTAGTTGTAAATGGATCTTTTATTTTATTTATTTATTAATGCATATGCGGTGCTGAAGATTGAACCCAGGGCCTCACACATGCCAGGCAAGTGCTCTACCACTGAGCCACAACCCAGCCCCAGCCCCAGCATTAAAACAATTTTCATGTGATTGAGTATTTTCAAATTATAATAATGAATAAAATCCATGAGATTTTATCTACAACAGTGTTTCTGTGGGTCATGTTCTATTTAGAAATCCAATATGCTGTATTAAATTGATCAATGACCCTTTGCGTCACTTGGCTCCAAAATACATCAATGTTTTTCTCTAAGTATTAAATTAATATTAAATAAATATTAAATAAATAAAAAATATAAGAATAGCCTTGCCTCTTTGGATCAAGAAGACATTTAATGAAACCTGCTTCTCCTTTTGATTGCCTATGATTACATGCCTTCGTAGAAATCAACATTTTTAGTTTAAAATAGATGTTGTTCTTTATCTTGATAAAAATGGATATCTAATATATGAGATTTTTCTGGAAAGGAAAAGCAATGTAAATACCAATAGGGAAATCTTGTAATAATTTTTAGTTCACTATGTCCAAATATGTCTAAATGGAGTGGAATGGCATCTGTGAATTGTTCTTCCTGGTCACGTGGAAACAAAGTTAGCTGTCTCTTCTCGTTCGACTTTTGAGTAAAAGGTGCGGGGGGAGCAAAGCCTGGTATCTCCTTGCAACTGCTAGAAATTAAAAATAAATAAATAAATAAACAGTAGGATTCCAAAAGGCTTTCCTTATTCATTTTTTTTAAAGATAGAGAGAGGGGAGAGAGAGAGAGAGAGAGAGAGAGAGAGAATTTTAATATTTATTTATTATTTTTTTTAAAGAGAGAGTGAGAGAGGAGAGAGAGAGAGAGAGAGAGAGAGAGAGAGAGAGAGAGAATTTTTTTTAATATTTATTTTTTAGTTCTCGGTGGACACAACATCTTTGTTGGTATGTGGTGCTGAGGATCGAACCCGGGCCGCACGCATGCCAGGGGAGCGCGCTACCGCTTGAGCCACATCCCCAGCCCTTAATATTTACTTTTTAGTTTTCAGCGGACACAACATCTTTGTTTGTATGTGGTGCTGAGGATCGAACCCGGGCTGCACGCATGTCAGGCGAGCGCGCTACCACTTGAGCCACATCCCCAGCTCTCCTTATTCATTTATTCATTTTATTTTCCAAAATAAAAACAGCAGCAACTCTAATGTATCCCACACTTTTGAACACTCCTCCCTTACTAATCCAATGCTTCTGTGAAGTCTTAGTCAATTGTATTGTTAGCAATGTAACTTACATTATTGCTAGTAAGATTCATTGTGTTATTATTCAGCCATAACATTTTTTGTTACTGAGAAACACAAACAGTGGTCACAGAAGTTGAGGCATTAGCACCCAACAACCCCGAGAATCAATGAAGGATGAGAAATGGGGACTGAATTTCCTTTACTTTCCTTTTAGGGCGATAGTCACTATATCATTGTACTTCCCAGGAAAAGCTGGCAAGGCCGGGCCCTGTTATTTTCAGTTTCCTTTTGTAAACAATCCTTGCAGTTGACAGAAATAGAGTAACCTATTCTGTGAATTTTCCATAAACATTTCCCTGGTCTTCAGGAGCACGTCCCCGGGGCTTTCGGCTGGTTTCAGTCTGGAAGTGGGCTACTCAGGCGACTCCCTGGCTAGGTCCCCCTGAAGGGCCGTGCCTTCTGTCAGCTCCGTCCTTCCACAGCAAACCGGGATTCTGTTTCCCTGTGAGTCTTCAGTGCAGGGAGCAGAGCACGTGGAGGGGCTCTGAAGGGTGCCCTTCCTCCTGACAGGCACAGCCTGATCCCCACTGTGTGTCAGGCTTCCACTAACAGCCCCCCGTGGCAAGGCCGCGTCCGGAGACCACCTCAGCACGAACCTCTTTTCCTCCAGTGATGTTCAGATTCCCTTCTGGGCCTGGACTTGGTCTTCATGTTTGTAAGAAAAGGAGATCAGGCATCTGTCCGGCGGATCTGGATCTGAGCTGAGGGTGGAATGGCCCTTACAAGGATCACGGCGGATCTTTGATTCTGGTCAGCAAGTTACTAATCTCTCACTTCCGAAACTGTGTTAATTGAAAGAAGCCGGGTTAATTGAAACCTGTAACTGCCCCCCAAGATAGAACAGCAAAAAAATACAGCCATGTTTTCATTAAAACATCTCCTGGGGCTTGTATTTTCATCTGTATTTCCTATGGAAATAACCTATGCCAAAAACTACAGTTTATCCTTTGTTTATGAAAAAAAGAAAAAGGATATTGAGGAGACAATCTCAGCAGGCCCTTCTTTAAGAATACCTAATAGTGAAAAAGAAAACAAACAAATCTCACCCAAAGAGACTTTTTACACTTAAGAGTTTTCCGTAATTCGTGATTTTCTTGAGGTATTTAAGTAATACCATTTATAAAAGCATTCTGCGGTCTATAATAACGGAGGGTACCCGTACCGAAGATGGGAGGGGTGGCAAGACTCGCTGGGGATCGTGGATGGTCAGGTCAGCTCACGGGCAGTACACAGGTGGCAACAAGAGTCCAGAACAGGGCCAGTCAATGCGCTTCCTCGCTAGGGGACCCCCATTTGGGTCTCTGAGCTGTTTTCTCATCAATTACCTGAAGTTGGTGATCCTAACTATTTCCCCAGTCCAGTGCTCCTGAGGGACCAAGCCTGCTCAAGTGCCTCGGAGGCTTTAAGGATCTTCTTAATGATCAGTGACCATTGTCCTGAAGCACACTGTCCAGTGAGGTCGACTCTCAGTCCCCCCACCCCCGGGAGCTTCCTTCCTGAATAAAGGGCCTCCTTGCTTTATCATGTTTCCAAGTTAAATTGACTTCATTTTTGTTTTTCTAAGCCTGAGACCTCTTGGGCTTAAATGTGTTGTCGTGTGTGTGTGTGTGTGTGTGTGTGTGTGTACGCGCGCGCACACATGTGACAGGAGTTGGGAGCAGCTGTCTACTAATAATTTCAGATGAAGCCACCTGATGGGTCTTGGCCACCTTAACATTTACCTGCAACTTTTCACTGTGAACATTTTGATTCCAGATAAGATAAAAGTCATTGTAAATAAAAAAAAAAAAAAACTTTTACAAAATTTGTAAACTGTGACCATTAAAAGTAAAAAAAAGCAAATATGTACTTTAAAAGTGACTGCATAACATTTAAAATGTTGAAAATAAATTTAAAAGTAGTACACAGATGGTGCTCCTGCACATTTTCAAAAAGCATATTTATTGCTCTTTTTTATAACCTCCAAGAATCTCAGTTTTGATCCTCTGTAAAGATGACAGTTTTGAGGCAAAACTACCAAAGTATCACATGAATCTTCAAGTTTTTGTATTAATTTTTTAATCGATGGCAGAAAGATGTTATTTCCTATAGCCAATGCAATTAACAAGGAAAACCCTGTGAAGCGCCACCTATTGTTGAGAATGAGTCACTTCAAATTTCAATCCAAATGGGGAGAATGAGCCTTCTAGGAGTCAAGGTTCACGTCAGTCCGTCCTTTCCTGCACTCTTTCTTCTGATTCACAGCACGCCACATGAGGGGTGCACATCTTCACTAACATGGGGGAAATGTAGTATGCACCTCGGTTGCTTTTTGAAGAATCTAAGTTACATTTTTGATGGAGATGACTTTTGACTATCACCTGAGAACTGGTACATCTGTAGAGGTGCTTTCCCACCCAATATAGTTATCAGAAAAGGTAAGACGCGTTGCAATTGAATAAATCTTCTTTAAAATCCTTGTGTTGTAAATATTATCTAGGCTTACATCACATTCTTTTGGGAAAAAACTTAATAACTTTAATATTGTGTATTCCTGTGTGGGATACTGTGGGTATTGTTGATAATGCCAGTCCTGGAAAGATGTCTCCTTTGAGAAAGAAGATGGACTTGGGTTTTATTGACCTGTCAGTCCATAGAAGCCGGGTGTACTGAGTGCTAGGGTGCTTAGGCTGAGTAGCAATGTGGGAACCTGTTGACACATAAATAACAAAACCGATATTTTTTCTATTGGTTACTACTAATCTGATGGAAAGTCTTTGCAAACCAAGAGGTTTAAAACCATCAGCAAGGGCAGAATCACCGGGGGAACATACGACTTCTGGGAGCCCTGCTTTAAAGGACGTGGTTTAAATTGGTGTCCGTTTGTTTAGGAACCTGTTTTGCATTTTCTAAGTTGCGTGTTTACTGCATGAAGTGAAGTGGCCAGAGGAGGACACGGAGGAGGGCAGCGAAGGACAGGGCAAAGCTTAGGTGCCCAGAACAGCAGGAGGCCGTCCACTTTGGGTTTTCCCCTTCGCTGCTCTTGCGAATCTCTTGCCCTCCTTGAATTTGAAAACGGACACTGTAAAGCAGACACGCTGCAACTCGCCCCTAACTCAGAGTCTTAAATTCATCTGCCAATGATCCACTCACCTCTTCCTGGTGGCTTGGGTTTTGCTCTCCAGTGCCGGACTGAGCCCAGGCCTTGCGGATGCTGAGTGTGGCCCTGGCCGCCCCCTCACGTCCACAGCCCCTGGTCAACAAACGCTTACCAAGCCTCTGTGTCACTCCTTCCTGGAGCTGGAGAGCAGGAGGGAGGCACAGACCGCACGTCCTCCGCAGCAGTCGCAGGTGACACCGAGTACCGTTGGGGAGGAACCAGTGCTGGCCTGGTGGCCAGGGGCCTCCCTGAGGAGGTGAGGTTTGGACAGAGCGTCCACCTACATGTCAAGTGTAGGAGAACAAGTCAGCAGAAGTGGCAAGCCCAGGCCCTGGGGAGCAGTGAGGAGCCAGCAGTGGAAAGGGCAGAGGCCGGAGGGGAGGCTGAGGCCGTTCCATTCAGACCCTGGAGCCCATGGGAGCCCGGAGCGTGTTCTGAAGTCACAGGAGAGCTGTGGCTGGCGGGTTCCTGTGTGAAACATTAGAAGATGCGCCAGGCCAAATGTGAAAAAGCAGTTGTAGGGAGAATTAGCAGAGAGGGGAATCATTATTTGTTAGGACAGAATATAAATTGTATATGGCTACAAAATGTAAGGTATACTGTGGTAGGAAGAAGAATTTGGGCCCTGTTCTAGAATATCTTGGCTTCACAGACTAGGAAGAGACCAAGGCAGCCCGCTCCAGCGGACGGCAGGAGGGCCGAGGACCAGGGGGCCTCCGCCCCACCAGGGCACACTCTGCTTGAGCACTGGTGTGACGGAAAGGAAGGTTTCTCTGTGGAATCACAGTTGTCACCGCTGGGTAAGTCAGCTAAGGACAGACTGCAGACAGTGTCAATGCCACATGGAGGGTCTGGGCTCCATCC